GCCCGCTCGGCCGCCGCCCCCGCCCCGCGCCCGCCCGCCGACCCGCCCTGGCCCCCGCCCGCCGCGGTTCCCGCCCCCCTAACGCTCCGCCCCGGCCCCGGCCAATCCGCGCGTCCGCCGCGGGGATCCGGCGCGCCCATTGGTCGGCAGGGCTGTCCGTCAGGCCCAAGTGTTAAGAACGAGACGGCAGGGCGGGGGGCGCGGTGGGGCGGGGAGAGGGCGGGGTCTCGTTCGGCCCCACCCACTCCTCCTGCCCGAACCTCCTCCCGCTCCCCGGGGGCGGAGCGAGTAGCGCCCGCCCCCACCTCGCAGAGTCCCGAGCGCCTGTCAATCCGGCGGCGGCGAGCGCGGATTGGATGGCCTGAAACGGGGGGCGCGGGGGCAGCACGTTGGGGTGCGCGCTACTTAAGGTCCTGCTGCGTGAGCCACTGACGTGTTCGGAGCTGGAGCCGGCTCCGCGCTGGTGGTGTGGCCGCCCGTGGTGAGTGGTCTCCGGCCCGTCCCTCCCTCCGCGGCCAGCCCCCGGCGGCCCCCGGGCGAGGACCGACCGAACCGTCCGCCGCGCGCTCCCGTCGCAGCTCGAGCCACACGATTCGTCCGGCCGGGGCAGCGGAAGGTGACCCCGTGCAGGTCTGGGCACCCCGGCTTCTGTCACCCCCCTCCCTGCCCTCCCCGGGGCCCCGGGCTCTGCTGTCCGCCGTCGGATGCTGCGGAGGGGCTCCCCGGAAGGCTGTGCGGTCCGGGACGATCATCCTTAGGCATTCTTCTCCGACCTCCGCATTCCCGGTGGTGTGTGCTTTGACTTTTTGCCCCTGTTCCCCTCTGCACCCAGGTTTACGGCGTGGTGTGTTTCTTCTTCCGGATTTAACACTTCCAGACCGAGACTCCGAGCAGCTTGGGGACCTGGACTTGTTGGGTAACGTGCCCTTCCCCCACGACGGATCAAAGCTACGAGGAGAGTGGGAATCAGGAACTCCTTTGGTAGGCAGTTGGCCTTTTTAGAGTAGATTTTAGAGTTATGCCTCGGGTGTGCTCTAGGTTTGCAGCTTTCCCTCAGACTTTTGGTTTTCTTTCTAAATGTCGTCTTGGAAGTGGTAGAGCGTTGTAACAGCTGTTCAGTCCTGCACCTTCAAAAAGCAAGCAGATAAGGCCTCTTTAGCAGGGCACTCCATCTTGCCCTTCAGCCCCACTCCTGTGTAAATTGACATTTCCTCTTCCTGTGCTGTTAACACAGGAATTCATACGAAAGAGGTGACACTCGGAAGTCCATGTTTAGAGTGACTTGTGTTTAGGATCCAGAATGAAAAGCAACGAAAGGAGAATAGCCTGAATCAGTAAATTTGATCCCTGTTGTGTAGATATTTTTAAAGAATTTCTGGCTGATGATAAATGGAACAGAACCCCACGATTTGGATGCAGCGTGAATTCTCTCTGTAGCTGATTGTTGTTGAGATCATTACATGCATGGCGTATGAAAAACCAAGTGGAACTTTGTGAAGACACGACAGGATATATATGAAAGAGAAGGATGTAAATTTTCTTAGTCCCGTTATTCTCGTAGGGAGAGACAGTCCTGTAAAATCCCATCTTCCGAAGAGGAAAGCTTTCTAGATAGAGTTGGACTCTGCACTGAGTTTCCATCTTGTCAAGATGCACCTGCTGGCTGGATATTTTCAGTGAAGGTCATGTAAAAAATAATTTGTTCTATCCCATGGAAAAGTTGGGTTCCTTTAGTTTAGACGTCAGAATAGAAGAAATTGGATTGGGTGACCCTTGATTCAGAATACATAGACTCTCAGGAGATTATGGGCTTGAATTGCTTTTCTTGAATATACATTATTTCATTTAACATGTTTTTTTTTTTTTTTTTTTTTTTTGGTGGTATTTCATAGAAAAATTCGGACTTTTTAAAAGGCCCATGTATGTTTTTTTTTTTTTTTTAATTTAGTACAGTTGTGTACATCATACTGGCTTATTTCTCCGAAAAACCTCTTTTATTTTTAGGTAGAAAAAACATTAAAGTAGTGAAGGGTTTGGGCATATAGGCCAGATCAGCTCTTTAAGCTCAGTCCAGTGAGTTCTCAAAGATGGTGGGTGGCTCATCAGTGCCCTGTCAGTATATTGAGACAAATGAAGACCATGCTGAAATAATGTCACTGTTGTTTTTGACACTCGCTCCCATCCCCTTGAAGAGAATTGGCTTGCTAGTTTTACTTGAACTGGAGTTTGAAGAGCAGTTGTCCTTGGCTGGTAGACTCCCTTCATGAAGTGTATGGCTTGACCTGGAATTAACTAACTGGTTCTTAGGGCAATGTAGTCTCCCTAATCGATAAAAAAACTTTCTGCAAAGCTGTAGTTTTAAGACTCGAATTGGAAAATTACTGAACCACAGCAGCATTCCCTGACTACCTTCAACCCAGGGAAGTACTATTTAAACAGAAGGATTTGCTGAAATTAAAAAGAAAAAAAAAAAAAAAAAGTTGTTTCCTAAACTATGGTGTTTCGGAATGTTAACTAGGTGGCTCTTTGACATGCTTGCTGTCTTTGTACCTTCTACTTTGAGAATTAAGTTTTTAAGTACTTGTGAGGTTGATGACATTTTCTGGCCATTCCCTTGTGACCTGTTTTTCTCCCACCTACCTTCAGTGAGAAGACAAGATGCCACTGGCCACACGGCGGCTGAGAGATCCTGACATAAATCCTTGCTTGTCGGTAGGGTGGTTTGCTTTTCATTGTCATGAGTGTTAACTTGGGAAAACCAATCTTAATTTTGTGGGCATCTGTCTCATACAGTTATTGAATAAAGTATTATTCTGTGAAAAGATATTCCTGGACAGTGTATTTTATTTCACTATAACATTTTAAAATGACCAAAATGTAGCTAATAAAGGCTTCGTTCTTCATTTTGCTTAATTGTGAAATAAACTGTTTGGTTGTCACTGTAAAACTTGACAAGCTTATGAACACTAAGAAAATCTTTAGTCTAAACATGGGACAATAAAGCAAATTTAAAAACAATGGCTTTAATCACAGCAATTATTTAATCTGTCTGAGACAACCTGGCTGAGTCATAGGTTGACAGTAGGATGAGCTTATTTTCACAAAGGTAACTTATAAACAACGTTGTGTTGGGATAATAAGCTTTTATTGGCAATAATTGCTTACAACATTTTGTTATGGCCTTGTCTCTCTTAAGGAATGCAATGTAAAGGTCATATTGTTGCTATGAAAAGCACTAATCCACCATCCTGTTTGGATTTTTCAAAAATACACATACTATAGTGCACATCTGTTGGTCTGTATATTCTGTTTTCAACAGCTTTATGAAGTAAGTATTGTTTAAAGTGTGTTTCTTAGATTTGCGAAGCAGATTCTCTGCCCGTTTGAAACTTAATTTTAGATAGCTTCTCATAGTCATACTTACCACTTTGAAGCTTGCTGCCCAATCAGTGATACCTACCTCATTTTAAACTCCTAGCCCTGTGTTGCTAACTTTCTTTTTGAAGCCACCTTAATGATAACTATTACGGTCGCATGTGCAATAGCGTGCTTGCACAACAGTGAACGGGAGCCAAAACGCATCTGGATGGACGCCGTTAATTTAGGTTGCCTTGATGTAGATCGTTTACTCATGTAACTTACTTGGCATCTCAAAATGAGCATTAAGATCAAACAAGTCAGAATGAGAACTGAGGAAAGCCAGGAGAGCTGCACTGAGAATTGGGAGGCTGGTTTCTGCCACTTGCTGTGTGGCAGTGCTAAGAGCATCTTAGACCTTTCTTCAGCCTCTGGAACAAATGACCACAATCAGTGCTTTGGCTCAAACACATGTGACCAGATACTAGGAAAACTGGTCCAGACTGGAAAAATAAGATATCTTTTTAAGTTGAGTGATATCTGGATAGTTGGCTATATTATTGGGGTTTATGAGTCTACCCACTAAAATGAACACAAAGAAACTGTTTTCCATCTGCTCAGAGGAGAAGCAGCTTCAGAAGTCTTTGTGTTTGGGTCTTTCTTAGATCACATTCCATATTTTAAATGATGACTCTCTTACATATTTAAGGAATCTGATGCTTCTACCAGATGTATGGATGAAAATAACTATGACAGGGAAAGGTGTTCCAGTTACTTCTTGAAGTACAAAAACTGCCGGCAATTTTGGGTAAGCCCAGCTTGTCAAGCTTCTTGTAAAACTCTGCTCTTAGGCTTGTGACTAAAGCTGGTATCAATCAGTAACCCACACTTCCCAGTGATGGTTGACCTTACCATCTGTGAGGTATACCAACTCTATGGCATCCCTGAGAGCTTGTTTCATTCTATTTCAAGGTTTTAGACTCCAGTTTTAATATAAGTAAGTCTTTCTATGTAAGTACCTTTAGTCATAAAATAGCCTCATTATAAATCTGGATTTCCTGAAGAGGAGGAGAAAGTACACTTCACCATGACATCGTACATCTCATTAGGCGTGTGTTTCAGTCTCCTTTCGCATAGCCAATCGTAGTTGTTAAAATGGTCCCTTTTTTCTTAATACATTGATATTCATTTCTGTGTCCCTGAGTACTGGCTCCAGGTCCTTCTTTTTCCTTTTCTGATAGACTATTAGTTTCACTTAATAATTATGCATAGCTTTTGAAGGTGGACTGTAAACACTCTTGTGTATGTACTTAATGGCATATACCTATCCCATCTCCTGCTAGCAGTGTGTTCTGTGGGGATAATCACTTCAGTGTAAATGTTAATAGATGGAAATATCTGGAGACCTGGCTGCCAGGTTTGGAGTTTTAAAATTTAGGTTTTAGTATTTTCCTTTTGAAGAAACAGTAGAAAATTACTGCCAAATTATTGCCATTTAATACATGACTGATTTTGATGTTTTCTTTTATGCCTGTGCACAGAATTCTGTTATGCTCCAAAGAAGACGAAACGGAATTCAGCCATATATGCCTACAGCAGCAGAAAGAGATGAAATTTTGGGAGCAATGCGAAAGATGCCTTACTGAACTATTTGCATTAAAATTGTTTCTATAACTTGACGCAGATGATTTTTTTTTTTAAATCAATGATAGCTGAACTCTTAAGACTACTGGTTTCATCCCAGGCAAATTCTGAGTTGTAAAAGGTGAGATGGAATTCAGTTAGCCTCAAGTCTTTGGTATTTGCTGTCTGTGCTGTGACAGAAACATGGTATTACCATGCTGTCTCTCATGGAAGGACAGGAGTGTTAGGAAGGGCTGTAGGAACTGAGCTCTCTTGGTCCTGGAAAGAGATTTAGCACGAGCACAGGCTACCGGGGCTGTTACAGAGGTGGTGTTCCTCAGGAAAGGAAATGATGAAAGCGGCGCAGTGATGGAAGGAAAGGATGTCCTAAGTTTAAAATGAATGATGAAGTGGAGAGGTGATTGGCAAGGTGAGTTGTAGGTAGGTGTGTGGTGGGTCAGAGACCTGGGAGTCATCCCTGAAATCTTTGTCCTGCTGCACCCACAATCTTTATGGTTCGTACATTCACTAGGAGGTAAGTGGGCCCCAGAAGAGCGCTGAGTAAATGGCACACACAGAACTGTTACTACTTTAAGGAAAGGCTTAACTCCAGGGTTCTGGCTAAAACTGATGAAGTTTTGGCTCACCTAAAACCATAGCACCAGTTCTTGGACCACAGTTGATAGGCAAAAAAGAAGTGGACTCTCCCAGAAGCAGGATTTCTAGTTTCAGGATGAGAGCACAGGAAGTGAAATGGGGCTGATGAGATGAATCAATGTGGACGAGAATCGAGTTGACCTTCATTTAACGATAGCAAACAATGGGAGCATTCTCTGTGGTGACTGGATGGTACAGGAGCTCCGCTCTTACCAGTGCTATGTCATAGCTTGCTGTGTACTTAGTAATAACAGTGAATTGTCCAGTCCAAAGGCTCTGAAGTTTTTAAACCAAATGACAATTATTATTTTATTTTATTCTTTGAGACAAAGTCTTGCTGGGTCATCTTGCCTGGCCTGGAACTTTGTGGTCCTCATACTTCAGCCTCCTGAACACCAGGATAACATGTGAGCCACCACATATGGCTTGAACTTGATTGTTGGATGTGATTCTTTTAGAATAAAAAATGGATTGAAAACATTTTGTGGTGCAGGACTCGTGGGAGTGACCAACCAATGTTTGGCTTAATTTGAGGCTTTCCTGGTGTCCTATACAGCCTGAATGGTCAAGAACCAGAGACTGGGTAGCCCAGAGACCTAGGATTGGTGCCTTTTCTAGTTGTCATCAGGCTTCCCGGGATACAGCAGATGGGAGCAGGTGCAAAGACCCACAGCCAGACATTATGTAGAGAGAGTCTAAATTGAAGGTCTCCATTAGGTCCTTCTCCTCAGAGAGGAGATGTAGATCTGGGAACCCTGTGATTATGTACTTGTTGGGTCTCAAAACAGAGACAAAGTAGGCTGAGGTGCCTACTTACATATCAAAGCGGACCTGGCTGCCAGGTTCTCCCAGGATCCCTCAGTCTCTACCTGTTACAAGGTCCTGGCTGGCATACCCTGCCCCCACCTTAAACTTCTCCAGCTCAGGTATTGGTGTAGGCTTTTCTCCCTCAAGCTGCCCTTCCCTACATAAGCCAATCATTTTGGTTACCTGCCCCTTTTGTCTACCCTCTACCCTCCTCCCACCTCCTGGTCTGGCTTCTCTCTTCTTTCCTCTCCCCTCCCCCATCTCCTCACATGGCCTGGCTCAGTCTAGTCATGCTCACTCTTTAACTCTTCTAGATGTCCCGGCCTCTGGCTATGCTCTGCCCTTTATCTACAATAAACTTTCTCCTCCACCATACCTAGGAGCAGTCATGTCTTTCCATATTTATTTCTCTCTTTCATTCAAAACAAATGAATGTAATCATTTTGTAGCTATTTGCCTTGATACAACCCTTTGAAGTTTTTCATTTATTTATTTTTACCATTTCTGCTTTGTGACTACCTTTATCACCTCTTAACCACCAGTGCCTTCATATGAGCATTTCTTCAAGCTGAATTGCTAAGTTATATTGTGGCTGTTAACTTAAAGTCTCTGACAGGCTTTCCGATCCGAGCATCTGTCAGAGTTCCAGTTTCCGCATCTTTCACATCTTTGACCCTCATAGCAGCTATCCTCATGACTATGAATGGTTTGCTGTCCTTGGAGTTGGAGTGTACATTTCTTGGATGGTAAACATTTCTTACATGCCTTCTCATATAGATACTATGCACCCAAGGCTTGGGTGGAGCTCCGGTGTAGTTACAATACTGCCTGGTATCTAATGCAAGAGTCTCAGTGGAGGTTCCTGATGCAGATAAGCCTCTCTGGGGCCTCTAGTGTGCTTGAGGGTGATGAGCTGGAAGAGGTATTTGCCCCATCCAGCCTAGTGGTCCTCCAGCCTGTGAGGTTGTCAAGTGATGATACATCTTGGTGTGCTTCACCTCATCAGGAAAGTAGTTCTTTAGGACCTCATGGAGATGGAAGGCTGTGCAGGCAGCACCAGCCCAGGATCAAAAGGTTCTAGTCCAGGTTTTCAGTTTTCCAGAGCCTCGACAATTCCTAAGGCCTCCCTCTAGAGTTTTTATTCCACTTATCTTGATATCTTGAAAAGACTTTTTTATTTGGAAGAGGGAATAGCTCCTACTCTCTCTCTCTCTCTCTCTCTCTCTCTCTCTCTCTCTCTCTGAGACAAGGCCTCATGCAGCCATTTTGGCCTTGAACTCATGATGTAGCTTAGCACGATCTCAAGCTTCTGATTTTCCTGTCTCTACTACCCAAATGGTATTTCAGGCCTGAGTTACGAACAGGACAGCTTCTATTGTAATTTCCAGAGCATGGCACTCTGGTACCGCTCAAGTCAACTCATAGAAGCTATACAGAGCCTCATTGTCCAGCCCTTCCTGAAATAGTCCAGGGAAAGTTGGTAGGAGGCAAACTTCGGTGCAAACTGACCAGGCAGCACTACCTTGGTGAAATAATTTTGACAAATTGTGCTGATTAGTAGTATGGACCTAACTGCAAAACAAGCCACAAGACAAACAAAACAAAACAAAATAAAAACACGAAATAAAAAAAACAACAACAACAAAAAAACAGTATAACGGTATTGGTTGGTCATGGAAATCAAAGCTACTAAGAAAATGGGTTCCAGGGGTTGCCACGGGAAGGGAGATTAGAAGTCAGAATAAGGAGTTCTAAGGTTTGTCCAAAGAAAGTTAAAACAAGATACAGTTCCACAAGACCACAGGGCATTCTTGTCAGATTTCTTTACATATATACTAGATAAAAGAGTTTGCATCTTTCCCGCATCTGTGGGTTGATTTTCACTTACAGTATCTTTTTTAATCATATTTTTCATTTTGGTGAATGTAAGCAAAACAACATTAACCATTTATATTAGAGTATTAATCTATGGAGTGTTTTTTTTTCCCCCTTTTGGTACCATATCTAAGAGAGCATCCAAATGTAAAGGTCATAAAGACTTATGTATATACTTGTTTCTTCTAAGAGCTTAATCATAATTCCACCTTGAGTAACTGTTATGTATGGTCTTAGGTAAGTGTTTACTTTCATCTTGTGATTATCCAGTTTTCTTAACACTATTGAAAAAAACTATTCTTTGTACTATTGAATTAGCATATTGGTTATAAATCATTGATCATACATATGAGTAAATGGTTTATATTCTCTGCTCTATTCTAGGGATGCCTATGTGCCTATCCTTGGACCAAAACATTGTCTTGATTATTTTAGTTTTCTATCAGTGGCATTATTCTTTGATGACTGGTGTCTCTTAAGTATATTTTCTACGACGTGTTTTGATGACATACTTACATGGGAGTTGTATGTGTGTGTGTGTGTGTGTGTGTGTGTGTGTGTGCGCCCACTTGTGTGTGTGCGCGCCCACTTGTGTGTGTATGTGGAGGCCAGAGGCCTATGATGGTGTCTTCTTCAATTCCTCTTCACCTTATTTTTTGAGACAGGATATTTCACTAGGGTCTGGGTTCCTCATTTAGGCTAAGCTGGCTGGCCAGCAGGCTCCAGCAGGCTCCAGCAGGCTCCAGCAGGCTCCAGCAG